TCGACTTCCCTCCTGCCCTCTACTGGGCAGTGCTGACCAGTGGCTGCACTCCCTTTCCTAGAGCCCCATGCCCGTCCAGCCTCAAGGCAAAGACCCTGAAGAGATGGAAGCAGAGGGTGATTCAGCTGCTGAGATGAACGGCGAGGAGGATGAGAGTGAGGAGGAGCGGAGTGGCAGCCAGACTGAGTCCGAGGAAGAGAGTTCAGGTGAGCCCTTGCACACACATGCACACACACACACACACACACAAGCAGCCACTCCCCACCCCCACCTCCGAGCCAGCCCTAACTGGCCTCTTGTCCCAGAGATGGACGATGAGGACTACGAACGGCGCCGCAGCGAGTGTGTCAGCGAGATGCTAGACCTGGAGAAGCAGTTCTCAGAGCTGAAGGAGAAGTGAGCGCGGGGCCCCGCTGGGGCTGGTCTTTGTGCACCTGGGGTGAGGAGGCAGCAGGCTGGGTGCTAACAACTGGAGTGATGACTGCCAAGTGGGGCTTGTGGGGAGCAGGCAGTTAGTTGGCTCATATTTGCCTCTGAGCACAGGTGAGCATGCGGAGAGCCAGTGGCCCACGGCTGCCCTCTTGCCTCCCAGGTTGTTCAGGGAACGGCTGAGCCAGCTGCGCTTGCGGCTGGAGGAAGTGGGGGCTGAAAGAGCCCCGGAATACACAGAGCCTCTTGGGGGGCTGCAGCGGAGCCTCAAGATCCGTATTCAAGTGGCAGGTTTGTGGCTGTCCTGTTCCCCCAGCAGAACCTACAGCTTCTGTCCGGGTCCCCTTTGATTCTTGTTCCTGCCCTGCCTCAGCCTGCCCCACTTTTTGGGCATCAGGGCCCCTGGCCGATCGGGGGTCTGTCTCTCACTCTGCAGGCATCTACAAGGGTTTCTGTCTAGATGTGATCAGGAATAAGTATGAGTGTGAGTTACAGGGAGCCAAACAGCACCTGGAGGTGAGTTCCCTCTGGGCCTGAGAGGGTGGGTCAGGTGGAGGCCAAGGGCCTGGGGCCGCCTGGCTGAGCACTGCACCTCTTCCAGAGCGAGAAGCTGCTGCTGTATGACACCCTGCAGGGGGAGCTGCAGGAGCGGATCCAGAGGCTGGAGGAGGACCGCCAGAGCCTGGACATCAGCTCTGGTGAGGACCAGCCCCCAGCCCTCCCTGGACCTCAGACTCCCCTGCTGACCACAGGGAAGCAGGGCCTGCTTTTTTGTATGTACCTGTACTGGGGCCTGAACTCGGGACCAAGGCATTGTCTTTAGTTTATTTGCTGAAGGCTAGTGCTCTACCACTTGAGCCACAGCATCACTTCTAGCCTTTTGGTGCTTATTGGGAATGAGTTTCACAGGCTTTCCTGCCTGGGCTGGCTACAAACCTTAATCCTCAGATCTCAGCCTCCTGAATAGCTAGGATTACAGGCATAAGCTACCAACCTGGCTTAGACTTACTTCTGTGAGGACAGAACGAAACCTCAGGAAAGGGCCTAGCCTGGTATCGCACACAGAGTGGGCCCCCATTCTCCTCCTTTCTGGAATAGAGGGTAACTATCTGACACGTATGAGCCACAGCCCTCTGCCCCTCATAGCATCTCTGTTCATTTGGGGTTGTGTAGAGACAGAGATTGTCTTCCACCTATTGTATTCTAAAAAAAATGGGGAAACTGAGGTTCGTCTAGGAAAGAAGGGTAATAGCCTTTCCCAGGCATAAAGAGCCCTGAGGGGCTTCCAGTTGTAGTTGTAGCCCCTCGCCCAGGGTTGGGCCACAGCTCTCAGTGGTGGTGGTGTGGGAGGGGAGGCCATGCTGGCCATTGAGGCAGAGGCTGCAGGGGTGGGGCCGCATGTGGGGACAGCGCCCTGATCTGACTCTGGGTCTGGGGCACAGAGTGGTGGGATGACAAACTGCACGCCAGAGGTAGCTCAAAGACCTGGGACTCACTACCGCCCAGCAAGAGGAAGAAGGCACCTCTGGTTTCTGGTATCCTTCCAAAGTGTCTAAGGCTGAGCAGGGGGGAGGTGGGAGAGACGCAGGGGACAGAGGTAAACTAGACTCATTCATAGTTGCTATAGTGTCACGTCACCATGTCCAGATCAGTCTGGCTGTCAGGTGTTACTTGGGTTCTGCATCCTCCCTGGACTCTAGGAGTCTCTCTAGAATAGGAAGCTTAGCTCACAGACTCCCTGCAACTTTCTGAGTGAGAGTCAGCCTGCAAGGCTCTTCTGGCTTGCCCTGGACATCCTGAGCCTCACTCACTTCTGCTGGAGCTCCTGTCTGGTGGCCTCCCCGAATCCTGAGGCTCCCTGTGCACTCCATGTCCTGCCTGGGGTACCCCCATCCCAGAGGGACTCTCTTCCACTCACTTTACGCAGAAGCCCTCCGCCTGAGGCCTTCAGCCCTCCGGTGCAGTGCACAGCTGTGTAGATGGGCAGCCAGGGCTGGCCATGAGGCAGGAGGGAGGGATCTAGAAGGCAGTGTGGAAGTCAGGTGTGGTTTGGGGATGGAAGAGGACAGGGTCTGCCTTTAGGTGGGGGGAGGGGTGCAGGGGCCCTGCCGGTAGGAGGGCTTGGTACTCTGTGGACTTGGGGAGAAAGCCCGTAGAGCCCCTGAGCACCAGGGCCTCCACAGTAGGTGGTGGAGCTGGCATTGGAATTCAGGCTCTTCACCTTCTCCACACTGACCGCGTACCACCACTCCTAAGCATGGGGTGGGTGGCACCCTTCTGTGGTCTGCCAGCCCAAGCCCGTTCCCATCTCCTGACTCTCTAGTGGCCATCCTGCTTCCTTGACCCCCATCACAGGCCCTTACATTGTATACATGCTGCAGGAGATCGACATTCTGGAGGACTGGACTGCTATCAAGAAGGTGAGTCCCTGCTACCCCGTTGTCATCTTCAGGGTGGCAGCACTACAGCTCCCTGACCTGGGCACCAGCTCTGGTGTCTGAAGACCTGGGGCATTATCTTCCTTCCCTCAGTACCCTCTCCCTCAGCCCTGGAGCGCTGGCCACCGGGCAGCTGATGGTCCTCCTGCTGGAATAGGAGGCAAGAAATTGTTCCAGGGCAGATGGAATGGAGGGAAGAGCATCGGGCTTCTGACAAGAGACACTTTTGAGAGCTTTGCCCGGAAAGGCTCTTCTGCTTCCCCTCATGGGCTGGGGAGAAGCTCAGCAAGCCAAAGGTGGGCTCTCAGGGGCCTTTTCTTCTCCCCCTCCAGGCCAGGGCAGCAGTGTCCCCTCAGAAGAGAAAAGCGGATGGTAAGGACCATGGGCGCGTCCTCTTGCCATCCTGTTCCCCAGCCTGGCCTCCAGGAGAGGAGCTCAGAGGGACAATGGCCCCATCTGAGTCTTGAGGGCTTCGTGGATATCTGGAGCTTGGGGAGGGGCAGTGGTGGAAAAGTGGGAGGGGGCACCCAGTACTGCAGGGCAGAGCGGGAGCAGAGGACACATCCATGCCCGAGCGCTCGAGGGGAGCACTCCCCTCAGACCCCCAAGGGAAGTGGCTCTCTCCCCAGTGGGTCAGCTTCCTCTCAGTCATTTCTCCCTTTCCCACATGTCCTCAGGACCATGACCCTGCTCTTGGAGTGGCTGGCACCACACCAGGATTTGCGTTTTCCTGCAGAGAGGCGGGGCTTCCCAGCAGGCTCTCCAGTGTGGCTACTGGATCCCCCCTCCCCCAGCCATTCCTGGCCTGGGCCCCTCCTCTGCACTCATCAGTTCTGGCCGACCTAGCCAAGCAAGACTTTCTCCATCCCTGACCAGCCCACCTCCCGCTCCTGAAGAGGAGCCTCTTTGCCCCCCATCTTCCCACAGAGAAGATGGACCTTGTCCTAAGCCCCAGCTTCAACCCTCCTTCCACCTTGGATCCTGTTACCCCAGCCGCTGGGCCTCGAAGTTGTGTCCCACTGGTGGGGAACGAACACCCAGCCAGAAATGATATATTGAGGGCTTGTCTGTCCTGCCCCGAGGTGGCAGCCCTGTCCTTAGGTTTTCTCTGGACACTTCCCTGGTGTCTGCCTCCTGAATTTTGAGGACTGGAATTAAAACCTTTCCTGGGACTCCAGTGTGGTCCATTTGCATCTGATTTACCTTGTAAGGGAATTGGGGCTTCCAATCTGCTTTGAGACAGGCAGATTTGTCGGGAGTCCCTAAAGTTTGGGGCACTAACTTGGGAAACAGGCTGTACAAGTAGGGGGCCAGGACCAGAGCCAGAAGCCATATGAGAATCGGGTGGAGCATTAAAAGCACGTGGCCTCAGGCAGGGAAGGGGCCTGAGCACATGCTCGCAGACTGACTGGGACTTGCCTGCACCTGCCCCAGTCGCTTGGCAGATTGGCAAGGCAGGCTGGCAGGGCCTGTGTGTGGGAGGCAGCCGACAGCAGCACCATGTGCTGAAGGCCTCACAGCCACACTACCCCTGGTTGGCGCGGAGTGTCAGAACCACCCCCAGAACCTCAGTTAAGCATAGAGGCTGGTTTCCATGGAGACACAGTATCCTTTCTCCATGGCAACCTAAAGTCCCAAAAGCCAAGGTAGGCTCCAGAGTGAGTCATCTGTGGCCAGCAGGGGGTGCTCTCTCACAAGGTTAGCCCCCAAGTCGGGAACCGATGAGCAACTGACCACAGGCTTCTTTAGGCAACCCAAGGGCAGGGCTTGGGCGAGTTGGGATTTAAGTTGGGCCAGCTTAACCCCTCCCTTACCCAGCTGCATGGGGTGAAGAGGCTGGCAGGGCTGCAGGGAGTGGTGATAGGAAGGTGACACCTTGCAGCTGGGGCCCCCAAAGTAGCACTCACATGGAGAGGATCCCTCCCCTCCCCTCAGCTCCCACCCTCTGAGGCCGAGTCTGGACCTGAGAGGAAGCCGACACTGGTCAGAGTGGACACACAAGAGTTAACTGGCGGGGTGTGACAGGGCGCACCGCCCTCAGGAAGTGTTACTCACCGCCGGGAATGTGCGCCTGTGCCTGGGGGCTGGATTCTCTTCCTGAGTCCCGAGAGAAAGCCAGAGAAGCTCACAGCCATGGCAGACCATGGAGAGCCAGCAGCGCACCCTCTGGAGCTCCCCAGCCCAAACTTTGCTCTTGAGCACCTGCAGAGAGAAAAGTTAGTGAAGTTGGAGGGGGCAGCCAGGTGGGGTGGGAGGGCTAGCCCAGGGTGGGAGGCGGGGGGGCTATTACATGGGGAAGGGGTGAGCTATAGTCCTCCCTAGACCCTTGCTCAGGTCTGCATGCGTGCCCACAGGCCAGCCCAGGACCCCCTGTATGACACCCCTCACGCCTGTGTCAGGCAGCCCGGCGGGCCCCAGCAGCCCGGGCGAACCGTGAGCCTGCGGGAACGGCTGCTGCTTACCCGGCCTGTGTGGCTGCAGCTGCGGGCCAATGCCGCAGCCGCTCTGCACGTGCTGAGGACTGAGCCCCCCGGGGTGAGTGACGCCCTCCCCCCCCCCAACTTTAGAAAACTGCCAGCCCAGCCGAGGAGGGAAGGGAGAAGGGGCCGGACACTGGGATCTTGTTCACTTGCAGACTTTCCTGGTGCGGAAATCTAACACCCACCAGTGCCAGGCTCTGTGTGTGCGGCTGCCAGAGGCCAGCGGCCCCTCCTTCGTCTCCAGCCACTACATCCAGGAGAGCCCTGAGGGTGAGAGGGGCCAGCCCGGTGGGGAAGGGGCTCCGAATGAATGGGGGATGGGGTCGGGATGTCCCCAGAGACCAGCCTGGCTGCTCCTGCCTCTCAGGTGTCTGCTTGGAAGGCTCAGAGCTCACATTCCCAGACCTCATCCAGCTCATCTGTGCCTACTGCCACACCCGGTGAGTCCACCCCAGGAATCTGCTGACCACAGGCCCTGCTCCCCAAAATGGCCCATCCTCCCCTGCCCCCAGCACCTATCATTCCTGACTGTTTGCTCCCTTCTTGGGCCTCAGGGACATACTTCTCCTTCCACTCCGTCTCCCCAGCGCTATCCACCATGCGTCTACCCACAAGGAACTGGAAGCCATCTCCCATCTAGGCATTGGTAAGGGTTCCCCTGTTACCCATTGCACAGATGGACAGACTGAGGTCAAGAGGGACAGGAAGGGAATGCACCTAAGCCCCTCCGCCTTCTGAGCCTGCTCCTCTGATGCTCCATTGGTTTTCTGGTTCCTAGAGTTCTGGAACGCCTCCCTCAACACCAAGACCCAGCAGGGCTCATCTGCAGCCCCCGCGCTGCCCCGGCTGAAGGCCCGCTCCCCTCAGGAGCTGGACCAGGGCACAGGCGCTGCCCTGTGCTTTTTCAACCCCCTCTTCCCTGGGGACCTGGGCCCCACCAAGCGGGAGAAATTCAAGAGGAGCTTGAAAGTGCGCGTGTCTACAGAGACCTCCAGCCCTCTGTCTCCACCAGCTGTGCCACCTCCCCCGGTCCCCGTGCCACCAGGGGCAGCGCCCAGCCACACCGAGTGGCTGCCTCCTCGCCAGCTACTGCGGAGGGAGAGCTCCCTGGGGTACCGTGTGCCCGTGGGCACAGGCCCTAGGCTCCCCCCGCTGCCCTCCCTCCAGGAGGTGGACTGCGGCTCCCCCAGCAGCTCTGAGGAGGAAGGGCCTTCAGAATCCCAGCGCAGCCCTGTCACCTCCCCGCACCTGGGCCAGCAGAGGCGGAGGCGGCCTCTGCTGCGCTCCATGAGCTCTGCCTTCTGCTCCCTGCTGGCACCCGAGAGGCAGGTGGGCCGGGCGGCAGCAACGATGACACAAGACAGACACACAGCTGTGGGCCAGCTGGTGCAGGACCTGCTGACCCAGGTGCGGGCAGGCCCCGAGCCCCAGGAGCTGCAGAGTGTCCGCCAGGCACTGAGCCGGGCCAGGGCCATGCTGAGCGCAGAACTGGGTCCCGAGAAGCTGCTACCTCCAGAGAGGCTGGGTAAGGCCCCAGCCCAGGCCTCCCGGGTTCAGCCCCTGCCTGCCTGTGTGCCTAGCCCCTTCTCACTATGGTGCCCCTGCCTTTCTGATGCTAATTCTGCTTTCTGGTGAATTCCATTGGCTGGCCTCTCTCCTCCCACTCCTGCCTTTGCCCAGGGCATCCGGCTTTTCTGCCCCTGTCTCCTGACCCCGCCTGCTCCTCCTCTGACAGAACATGTCCTGGAGAAGTCACTACACCGCTCGGTACTCAAGCCTCTCCGGCCCATCTTGGCTGCCCGCCTGCGGCGCCGGCTTTCCACAGATGGCTCCTTTGGCCGCCTGGCTGAGGGGCTCCGCCTGGCCCGGGCTCAAGGCCCTGGAGCCTTGGGGACCCAGCTGAGCCTGCCCTCCTCATTGGAGACCGAGCAGGTGCGCCAGAAACTACTGCAGCTGCTTCACGCCTACTCCCCCAGCGCCCAGGTCAAGCGGCTCTTGCAGGCCTGTAAATTACTCTACACGGCCCTGAAGACCCATGCAGGTATGGCTCTCCTGGCCTGAGTGTGGGGAGGGGGCTGGACTCCCCTGGGATCCTGGAGGCCTTCCCCTACCCTTCCCCAGCTGCTGTGAGGGCTGCAGCCCACCTCCTCGAGTATCCCACCCCGGATGCAATAACCCAACCCCCAAAAAGCTCTTTGAATTTGAGGCAGGCTCTTCTAGAGAGAGGCTCCCAGGCCCCAATGGGATCACAACCCCTCCTATCTCAGATGGTGTAACTGAGGCTCAGACTCGGAACTCAGAGCATCGAGGGTCTGCCTGAAGAACTTCTTGTGACTGGGTGGGAGGCAGGGAGCGATCACTACCTAGAACAAGCATTGAACTCTATGGACAACCTTCTATCCCCATCCCCACTCACCGCCCCCCGCCCCCCACCCCGGCGGCCAACCTAAAGTGTCCTCCGCTGTTCTCCACAGGTGAGGACGCAGGGGCTGATGAGTTCCTGCCACTGCTGAGCCTTGTCTTGGTCCAGTGTGACCTTCCTGACCTCCTGCTAGAAGCTGAGTACATGTCTGAGTTGCTGGAGCCTACCCTACTCACGGGAGAGGGTGAGGAAACTCATGCACCTTCTTGTCTGGGGGTGCTTGGGGGGACCTTAGCTGTTAAAGGCTCTGAGTAAGTAGGAAAGCAAGGAGCAGGCCTCCTCACCTCCCCGCCTAAACTGCATTCTGTTTCCTTGCGTCCTAGGTGGCTACTACCTGACCAGTCTGTCTGCTAGCCTGGCCCTGCTGAGTAGCCTGGCCCAGGCTCCAGGCCTTCCTCCAAGTCCAGCACAAGAACTACAGCGTTCCCTGAGCCTCTGGGAGCAGCGCCGCCTGCCGGCCACCCACAACCTCCAGGTAACAGGCATTCTCCACCATCTTCTATATCACTGGTTGTTTTGGGTTTTTAGTTTTTTTTTTTTTTTTTTTTGTGAGTACTGGGGCTTGAACTTAGGGCCTAGAAGCTGTCCTTGAGCTTTTGTGCTCGAGGCTGATACTCTTCTACTTGAGCCACAGCTCTGCTTCTGGCTTTTTGCTGGTTAATTGGAGATAAGAGTATCACAGACTTTTCTTCTTTTTTTTGGGGGGGGGGTCCAGTCGTGGGCCTGAACTCTGGGCCTGGGCACTGTCCCTCAGCTCTTCAGCTCAAGGCTAGCGCTCTACCACTTGAGCCACAGCGCCACTTCCGGCTTTTTTCTTTTTGCTTATGTGGTGCTGATGACTCAAACCCAGGGCTTCAGGCATGCAAAGCAAGCACTCTACCACTGAGCCACCTTCCCAGCCCTATTACAGACTTTTCTACTGGGCCTGGCTTCCAGCTTTGATGATCTCAGCCTCCTGAGTAGCTTGGATTACAAGTATGAGCCACCATTGCCTGGCAAGATTTTTAATGGTGTGTGTGTGTGTGTGTGTGTGTGGTGAACTTTCACTGCAAGGCCTAATGGTGTGTGTGTGTGTGTGTGTGTGTGGTGAACTTTCACTGCAAGGCCTAATGGTGTGTGTGTGTGTGGTGAACTTTCACTGCAAGGCCTAATGGTGTGTGTATGTGTGTGTGTATGTGTGTGTGTGTGTGTGGTGAACTTTCACTGCAAGGCCTAAGCACTATCCTGGGCTATTTTGGGTGGTTAATTGATATGTGTCTCTTAGATTTTTTTTTTTTTGGGGTCCGGTCGTGGGGCCTGAACTCTGGGCCTGGGCGTCTGGGCGTTATCCCTTAGCTCTTCAGCTCAAGGCTAGCACTCTACCACTTGAGCCACAGTGCCACTTCCGGCTTTTTTCTTATGTGGTGCTGAGGAATCAAACCCAGGGCCTCAGGCATGCAAGGCAAGCGCTCTACCACTGAGCCACCTTCCCAGCCCCTCTCTTAGATTTATTTGTCTGTCCAGGCTGGCTTTGAACCACAATCCTCAGATCTCAGCCTCCTGAGTAGCTAGGATTACAGGCATGAGCCACCAGTGTCCGGCCAGCACTCTAGTCCTGGTCATCCTGCAATGGAAGCATTGAGCTACCCTTGCTGGGCAGGGATAGTTTACAGGTGCTGAGCCTCAGGCACACTTCACTGGAAAGTCACAGAAACTTGGAAGTAGCACCATTTTATCCCCATTTTACAGATGAAACCCCAAAACTAACATGGAAGGAAAGGGCCACAGGTAGCAGGTTCAGGCCCCAAACCCTGGCCTCTGGCCCCAGCCAGAGCTCTGCCTCCCCTGGCCTCAGGCCTCCCAGCTACTCTTCTATCTGGACTGTGGCCTGCATGTCCTCAGCACCTGCCACCACCTCTGTCCTTCACCCTTTGCAGGCTTGATTATGACTCCAGACTATGGAGCCCAGGTCCTTCGCTCTTTCTAGGCTTGATTATGAATCTAGACCCCAGAGCCCAGGTTCTGGGTTTTCCTGGCTCTACCACTTCTTGATCCTGGGAGCCTGGGGAAAGTGGCACTTTTGCACCTCAGTTTTCTCATCTGTAAAATGGACCCATGGGGCTACTATGAGGATTAGGTGACTTGATGCTGAATGAGTGCCTACAGCACACAGTGAACATTACCTGGGCATCCTTCCTGCCCCTGGGGCCCTCACTCACTAGCCTTGAAGCTTCAGTAATGAGCTACTAGACCAACTGTGCATGTCCTGCCCATTCCCTACTTGAGCTCATAGAAGTCCTGCTTGTTGGTTCCATGGATCTGTAACAGCCTGCCTGTCCTCTGCTGTGAGCCGGCTGCACCCACGCAGGGCTTAGTGCTCCGTTTTGTTTCTCCTGCACAGCACCTCCTCCGAGTAGCTTACCAGGACCCCAGCACTGGTTGCACTTCCAAGACCATGGCTGTACCCCCAGGGGCCTCGGTTGCCACCCTGAACCAGCTTTGTGCCACTAAGTTCCGAGTGACCCAGCCTGATGCTTTCAGCCTCTTCCTGTACAAGGAGGAGGGCTACCACCGCCTGCCCCCCGGAGACCCGGCGCACAGACTTCCCTCAACTGGCTACCTCGTCTACCGCCGGGCGGAGCGGCCTGACACCCAGAGAGCTGCCACAGAGGAGGCGGGCAGCAGGCAATTAGAAGCAGCAAGCCTGGAGGAAGGGAAAGGGGGCCAGGGAGATGGGGACATGGGGATCAAAGCCACCCCTGGGGACAGTGGCACAGTGTCTCAGACACCTGTGGTGGGGGATGAGAATCAGAGCAGGGGAGGCCATGTTCAGCCAGAGGAGCCCGAGGCTGAGGGCAGTCAAGCTTCAGAGGAGTAGCCAGAAGGGCCACCTGCGGCAGGAGCCTCTGAGGCTGTAGGGGGTGGGGCTTCAGGCCACCCACACCCCAGCCCCCTCTGCTGCATCTGCCACCACTGCCCCTCTGACTGGTTCTGACCTCCATGAACCCACCTGAGCTGGAGGGCAATGAGGGATGGGGTTCACCGAGGTGGGCTGAGAGGCGCCCCACACCTCTTGGTCTTCTCTAGCCTGAAGGAGTGCGTGTGCATGACGACACCAGTGGAACTGACAGGCAACCTCTGGTGTTAGGGGTGGTGTGTCCCAGTTTGTTCTGCTCTTCCCATGGGCCCAGGCAGGACTGCTGGGACCCCGGAAGGCTGCCTCCTCTCATTCAGGACGGTGGCCAAATTGCAGCACAGGTCCCAGAGGATCAGCTTCTCCCCACCCCAGCATCCTCATCTACAAAGTGGGGTGCCATGGCTGCCTGCCCATCTCCCTGAAGTCTTCTAGTACCCAAAAGGTTGATTTGGAGGTACAAGCAGAGCTCAGACAGGAGAAAAGGGAGGGAAAGTTGGTTGTTAACAGCTCCACCTGCCAGCTCTCACCTTCCACTTCTCTCCAAGTCCAGAGCTAAATCAGCCCAGCTGCCAGAGGTCAGGCCTTGGAGGAGAAAGAACCAACATTCCAGTCTTTTCCTATCTGGCCTTCCAGCCTCCCCAGGGAACTGGACAGGGAAAGAAAGTACCCACCAAGTGGATACGATTCCAGAGTAGAGAGGCACAGAGACCATTCTGTCTGCACTCAAAAGCTTTAAAAGGAGGCAATGGATGGTTTGTGGGCCCCTCGCCAAGGTGCAGAAAGGAGATCCCACCCCTAAGACCTCGCAAGGCTAGATCAGGCTGCAAATCTCGGCAAAGGAGAAATGTTGCTATCATCCTCGAGGGGGCGCACACTGCCCAAGGAGCTGCCGAAGGTGGACTTTCCCTTCTCTCCCCGCAGCGGGTGAGGCGAGTTCTAGAGTCTGGAAGCGTAGGTGATTGTTGACCTTGCACTCCTAGGGCCATCAGCTAACACTGGAGCCGAGGCTACTGGGCCTCAGGTGCCTTGGGAAAGGTTCTCCAGAAAGAATCCTTTCTCTGGATGGACGAGGACCCCAACCAGTTTCAGAGACATACCCCTTGGGAGCTGAGCACAAAGAGACACGAACCCACATGGCAGACGTGACAAGCGGGAGTTGGGATCCATGGACACTCGCTTTCAGACGCTGCAGATAAAGCTTGATCAGACTTCTCACTAGGCCACTAAGGCTACTCTTTCCACTTCCATGACAACCCCACCCACTTCTTGCTGGTAGGAAGTCCCCCTTTATTCTGTTGTATGCCCTCCCTACCCCTTTACCTTGTACTGTGCTGAGCACCCCACAGGTGCTCAATAAATGGTGTCCACTGACTGGAGCTTGGTAAGTGGGAGTGAACAGGATAAAGGATGGCGCTTCTGGGAATCAAACACAGGATGTAGGGGCTCAGTCCCGGAGGAAGGACCTGGAAGGTCTGCTGAGCGTGCTCTGAGAACCCCAGGAACTGGATGGGAAGCTGGTCTCTGGGAAACAGGCTTCTGGGACTATGACAAGCCCTTCCCTCCCTCTCCCTGCTCAGTGCTGGCTCCTGATTCCTCCAGTTCCACAGCCCTTCCCCCCCCCCATCCCCAACAATGGCTCACAGGAATACTGTCAGGCCTTGCCCACTGCCTGGAGCTTTTGGTTTACCTGGCTGGTCTGGAGTTCAGACCAGTTCAGTAAGAGGCCCTGCTAGGCGCTGGTGGCTCATGCCTTAATCCTTGCTAGTCAGGAGACTGAGATCTGAAGATCACTGTTCGAAGCTAACCTAGGCAGGAAAGTTCATGAGACTCTTATCTCCAATTAACAGGCAAAAAAACCCAGATGTGGAACAGTGGCTCAAGGTGCCAGCCTTGAACAAAAAAGCTAAGGGACAGTGCCCAGGCACTATAAGGGGCCAAAAAAAGAAAATACGATACAGCGGTTGGGGCTCTAGGCAGAGCAAACAATAATAGGTCAGCCGAAGACTAGCCCCATTTTTACTGATGAAGAGCCCGAGGCTTGCTGTGTCAAAGTGGCTTGTTATGGGGCAAAAACTTGGAACACCACACACACAGGTTACACAGCTTAGTTATAAGCATGTGGTACATGCCTGTAATTCCAGCACCAGAGAGGCAGAGGCAGGAGAATCCCAAGTTCAAACCCACTTGCGTCGCATAGTGTCACCATTTCTAAAAAAAAAAAATAATTGAAGCCAGGTGCCAGTGGCTCACAGCTGTAATCCTAGTTACTTAGGAGGCTGAGATCTGAAGACTGCAGTTCAAAGCCAGCCCAGGCAGGAAAGTCCATGAAGCTCATCTCCAATTAACCACCAAAACAATAAAAATTTAAAAATCCAGAAGTGGAGTTCAAGTGGGAGAGTGCTAACCTTAAGGGAAAATAAATTAACATACACACACACACACACACACACACATACTCCAGTGTGGACAAACACCCTCAGCCCCAGCTGCACTAGTGATTTGCATCTTCGTCCTTAGGAAGAAGAAATCAAGGCTCTAAGCCAGGTGCCAATGGCTCCTTCCCATAATCCTAGCTACACAGGAGGTTGAGATCTAAGGATCCTGGTTCAAAGCCATCCCAGGGCAGGAAAGTCTGTGAGATTCTTTTTTTTTTTTTCTTTGTCAGTTATGGGGCTTGGACTCTGGGCCTGGGCGCTGTCCTTCAGCTCAAGGCTAGCACTCTAGCTCTTGAACTACACTGCCACTTCCAGTTTTCTGGTGGTTTATTGGAGATAATAGTCTCACGGACTTTCCTGCCCAGGATAGCTTTGAACCACGATCCTTAGATCTCAGCCTCCTGAGTAGCTAGGATTACAGGCGTAAGCCAGCAGGCCTGGCCTTCTCTGGGACTCTTATCTCGTTATCACCAAAAAAGCCCTTTGTGCAAGTGTGGCTCAAGTGTTAGAGCAGAGCGTTAGCCTTGGGCAGAAGAAGCTGAGAGACAGCCCTCAGGCCCTGAGTTCAGGCCACAAAACAAGCACCAAAAAAAAAAAAAAAACTCTAAGGGTGACAGGTCTTGTCCCTTGTCCTGCATCCACTACTATAGGGCAGGACAGGACTCTGTTGAGGACAGCCAGTCATTTCCTTGCTTGGAAATGTCATGCTGAGCACTTCTCAAGTTGCCCTAGTTATCTGTGAGTTTGTTTACTGTCTGTCTCCCCCCACTAGCGTGCCGGAGCCACGCTGGCCTGCTTCCCGGAGCTCTCTGGGCCCGGAACAATGCCTGGGCCGGAATTGGCACTTCGTGCAAATGTATGTGGAATGCTAGGAACTGAAATATTCTCGGGAAGACTCGTCCGCCAACATGTTTCCTCTGTACTCTCGGGGTGGCATGTTCCCCATCGCTGCCACCAGGGGGTGTGCATGCCTCATTTCCAACCCATGCCAGGTGCCCTCCTCAGCTGTGGCTGCTCAAGACTCTGGCAGGGCCAGCGGGACCAGGAGGAAAGCAGCCAGCCTGGGAAAGGAGGTTGAGAGGCCGGAGGAGGGGAAGCCTCCCATCCCAGGTTCTAGAGCCAGGACAGTGAGTCCAGAAGCCCAGGGGCCTATGGGATGGCCCGAGGGGTGGAGTGGATGACAGTCACTGAGACCCACCCCGACCCACCCTCATTACGTGTCACCCTCCACCTTGGCCTTGTGACCTGGGTTCACACCCACGAGTCAGTACTCAGACACACCCTGACCCACATTCCCACACACAGTATGTGTGCAGCACCCATACGCCCAAGTAACAAAAGCTGGAAGGACACATTCAGGGCCCAGTATCCAATGATGGGCTACATGGGGGCTTGAACTCTGGGCCTGGGCGCTGTCCCTCAGCTCTTCAGCTCAAGGCTAGAGTTCTACCACGTGAGCTACAGCGCCACTTCTAGTTTTCTGGTGGCTTATTGGAGAGTTTCAGGGACTTGCTTGCCCAGGCTGGCTTTGAACTGTGATCCTCAGATCTCAGCCTCCTGAGTAGCTAGGATTATAGGCATGAGCCACCAGCACCCGGCTTACGTGGGGCCTTCTTGACACATTTAGACTTCCTTGCACAAAATTTCCCTGACCCAACCCAGCTAAGTTATAGTAACATACATGCTGTGGGGGCAGGGTGCGTGGGTGCGTGCAACATGCACACGCACGCCAGTCCTGGGGCTAGAACCCAGCATCTGGGCACTGTCCCTGAGGTTTTTGCTCAAGGCTGGTGCTCTACCACTTTCAGCTACAGTTCCACTTCTGGCAGGTTTTTTTGTTTTGTTTTGCTGGTTTTTTGGAGATGAGTCTTACAGACTTTCCTGTCCAGGCTGGCTTCAAACCATGATCCTCAGATCTCAGCCTACTGAGTAGCTAGGATTCTAGGTATGAGTTCCAGGGCCTAGCAACAGCCACGCATGCTCTTGAGACAGAATATAGCCTCTCTCTCCTGCAAACCATCCCGGCAGTCCCCCGCCCCCCCCCCCATGCTTTGGAGTCAGCGCAGAAGGGCCAAGCCCCTCTCCTGATTAACTGCCCTTCCAGCTCTTGCCTACTCCGGCCTTACTCCCCCATCCCAGCCCCTGGTGGCTCCTGGAGGGGGCTGTGAGTCTCTGAGAAGACCCCTGTGAGGGGCGTGGCGACCCCTTGGGCCAGGCAGGAGGCTGAAGCAGGCAGGCTGGGCGGGGCAGCCTGAGCTCATCAGATTCCAGCCAGTCTGATTCACTAGAAGAGCCATGAGGATCTGGGGGAGGCACTGGTCCAGGGGCTGGGACTCGGGGGGCCTGGGTGAGCTTTGGCCTTGAGGGTCGGGGACCCAGAGTTTTGAGACTGGAAGAGTCCTTGCCTCCTGCAAGGGTGATCCAGCCTGAAAGGGTGCCCTCCAGAGGGTGCTGCTCATGGGAGAGGCTTAGGACCCAGAGCTGGGCTTCAGAATGAGACAATCAGCCCTGCCCTGCCCCGCCCGC